CAATCTTAATTCCGGCTTGGGATTCATCCAGTCCTGCCTTTCGCATGATGTATTCTGCATATAAGTTAAATAAGCAGGGAGACAATATACAGCCTTGTCGTACTCCATTCCCAATTTTGAACCAATCAGTTGTTCCATATCCAGCTCTAACTGTTGCTTCCTGTCCCACATACAGATTTCTCAGGAGATAGATAAGGTGGTCAGGCACTCCCATTTCTTTAAGAACTGGTCCACACAGTCAAGGCTTTTGCGTAGTCAATGAAGCAGAAGTACTGCAGATGTTTTTCTGGAACTCTCTGGCTTTCTCCATAATCCAGTGCATGTTAGCAATTTGGTCTCTAGTTCCTCTGTACTGTCAAAATGGCTTAAAACCAGCTGAAGTTCGCATTTGATGTTAGAACACTAACAAAGGTGTAGTTGGACATGACTTAATGACTAAACAACAACAAATGATGCTTTTGTGATCCCAGACCCATCACAGACTTCTATATAGTTCCTTCCATGTTATTTAAAAATGTATGTATTTCTCAATTATTGCTAGATTTTTTGTTTGTAAAATTACAAAATATAAAATAAATAATAAATAATATATAAAAATATTAAATATAAAAATAAAAAAAATTATGGTGGCTCCCAGTTTACAGAACACTCCTGACATCTCCTAAAGAGGTGACAATCAAATTTGGACATCACAAGAAGACTATTAGGCTAGATTTGTCTAATGGATCTACTAATAACCTCATTTACATATGCAACAGGATGCATTAGCAGAACCCCCAATGGCAGAACTAGTACATTGGGAGAAAGGTTCAGGTTAAACCTACTTTTTGCTAATTTAGGGAATAGCTTTAATAAATTAGCATTCAATAATGTAATATAGTCCATTTTACCACTTCCTTCCTGCCTAACCTATGTTCCTGCACGAGAAGTTGAGATTTAACCAATTTCCCACACCTACGAACCTACAAACATTTACTTCCAAATCTCATTGGGTTCAGAGGGACTTAACTTCCAAATAAGTGTGTTTAGGATTATAAACAATTTTTATGGAGCTGGATTCAAAATCCTCCAACCGGTTCGGTCCTCCATTCAGACTTACCAAAGCCGATTGTAGGATTCTAAGCATTCCGGTTTGACGTTGTGAACTGGAAAACAGCAAAAAAAATGTCAATGTTAAAAATCAGGTGAAGTAAGAGAAGAGAGAACCACACAGGAGAAAGACTAAAAGAGGAGCAACTCACACTGTAATTTATAAAGACTGCTGGTCTCCTTTTTAGCCAAAAGGTTGGAGTGTGCGTCTTTCCTCGGATCTACTTTGCGGACAAAAAGCGACTTCAACCAGCTGTCTTCCGCAGATCGGTTATTCGACGAGACAAGGCCCCTGCCGATGGAAAAAAGAAGTGGTGAAAGACAAAACACTTTGTTAAAACTTAAAGAAAAATTAAAAAGAAGACAAAAACATTACGGCACCTTAGAGACTAACTGCTCTATTTCAATGTGAGTTTTTGTGGACGAGTCCACTTCTTCAGACATTAAGAGGAAGAGATAAGGCATCTTATGTCTAAGGCCGAAAGTTCACATTAAAATAGAGCAGTTGGTCTTCTGGTCTCATTTATTTTTCTTTTGGTTTTGCCTGATTCACCAGCAGAGACTAGCACGGCTGCCCCTTCTAAAACGACAGCTTGGCTAAAACATGCCTATGGTTTGTTCCTGAACTATCAGACTATGGAACAGAAGGCGAACAGAGAGAAGATTCACAGATCATTTCCCACATCCTGGAAGGCGTCTTCCTCTTTATTGTTAGAACCCATACTGTATTCTTCATTTGCCAGTCATTAAAAGTGAATGAAGAAATTTGAATCGAGTCATCACATAAGGTTTTACCCATCTCATTAAGAGGCCAACAGGAAATTGTGTGTTATGTTTACTGAGAGGTATGTTTTAAATTGTTAAATTGGATCTTATGTCCAAGCAAAGGTGCCTAAGCCTGCAGCCTAAAATGCTGCAAAATATGTGTATGAAAAGGAGGGAAAAATAATAGCAAACCACAAAAAACTGCTGGGTTTTTAGCTCTTCCCAAGCTGGTTTTCCCCAGATGCTTTGGACTTCAAATCCCATGATCTCTTGGCACAGAGGCAAGGGGTGGGGATCTATTTGGACCAATAAGAGTTGCCATTATGGTTTAACTGTGCTGTTCAAAGTGGCAGAAAACAAAAATGAATGCAATCACTTCATTGGCTAGAATGTACCAATCCTTAGGCTGAAAACCACAAGTCCCAGTGCCCTTCTTTCAGGGTGGAAATATTAATTTTATTAATTTTTACATCAATATTAATTAATTAATACATTCATGTGCATCAAGGTCAAAGAATTTTTTTCAAGGACGTGGAAGAGATGTAAACATCACTGAACTCAACAGATCTTCCTTCTAAGTAGACACATACAGTACTGAGGTCCCCACTGAGCTAGGAAAGTTACTGGGTGGTTTTGGTTCAAATGCTCTCTGAGAGCTGGATGCACCTTGTGAGGATGAAGGAGAACAAGAAACAGGAGACTGAAATGTCATGTATGAACCTAATTGAGATTTATAAGTAGAAACTGGCAGGCTTCCTTTTTAAAAATGGTAGGCTTCCTTTTTAAAAAATATATTTGCAAATTTGCAAATCTGGTCGTAATTGACCAGATAGGCGGGATATAAATAGAATGAATGAATGAATGAATGAATGAATGAATGAATGAATGAATGAATAAATAAATAAATAAATAAATAAATAAAAACAACCACCGGAACCCAGAACAATCTGTCATTCAAGAGTCTGCTTTTGCTTGCCTGATTAAATAAGGTGATGCTTAGGGTTTTAAATCTGCGAACATCTGGTTAAACCTGATTGCCTTGGTCACAGTAGCATCCTAATATGGTTCCCAGAGCCCTTGTGGCTGGGTTGTGTTGCAACCCAGGGGGACAAGAAGCCTAAAAAGTAAAAGTGAAATGGAAGCTGTCCTTCCAAATTTCCAGTCCTTATCTGAAAGAAGCAGCTCTATCTAATTTCCCATAACGGAGAGCATAGCCTTTATGTTCCATGAAGACTAGTAAGGATTAGGTGCTGTTTACATGGCTTGCTGAAGGTAAAAGTGCTAAGCCATTAGCTGCTCTCTGCACTGAGCCTCCCCCAGGAGTGAAAAAAAAGGGACAGTTTTTCCAGCCTTAACACATCTGACTTTGGCTTCCAAATGTCTGCCTCAAAGAACCAGAAAAAGTATATACTGTATTGTTTTATTACATACATTGTAATTTGCAACATTTCTAAGGAATTACATCATCTGCAAATTTAGGGGGTGAGAGAGTTCTTTCTTTCTTGTAAATCTTGGCATCTGCTGGAAGCCTATAAGGTGACACACACACACCCTTTATCATGGAGGAGTTAATAATGTTCAATTTAGTTTAAATGTGATCTAAGTTCATATCTTAAATTGTGGGACCTGGGGGACTGGATTAACGTACGTGAAGACACCTTCACCCCCTTTTTGGAGGCAGCTGTCTTATTCTCGGGGAAACATGGTATGTGTATATATGTACGCATGCATGTTTATAAATGTATAAATATACATATTTATAATATAAATATTATAAATAAATATTTTAAAAATACATAAAACCTGTATTTCTCCTTAAAAAGGGAACCAAGGTGGCTTACAGTAATTAAAAGATATGTACAGCAATTAATTATACACTGATGAACATGTAAACAGGTATATTTGTTTATATATGTATTTATATGCATGTGTATTAGATAAGCGTAGATAAACATATTAACAGGTACTGTATGTGTGTCTGTACATATGCATAAATATGTTTGCATATACACATAGACATATATGCTATCCGACATATACAAGATAGATAGATAAAAACCTACCCTATGTGATCTCGTCTTATCTGTCCATATGGACTATATGTAACTTATTTATACACATATAGGTGTAAATATCTATATTTACACACACACACAGGTAAATGCACACTTTTTAAGGCTGCTTCTTTGCCTATCTGTACTGCTTAAATTTCCCGATCTGCTTAGAAATACATAGGCAGGAAAGCCAGGAAACCCACCCACCCCCATGCTCCCTTCACTAATTAGTTCTTTTAATTAAGGAGGGAGGGAGGCTCGTTAGGCCGGCTGGCCAGCTGGCGGCCACGTGACCGGCCCGTGACCTTGAGCCGGGGGGGGGGGCGGTGGCGGCGCCCTCTCCCCTCCCCTCGCCCCACTTTCCTTCCCCCTCCCCCCCTCCGTTTCCCCTCACCTGAGGAGAAAAAGGCGGGAAGGGCCCCCCGGGCGAGGCGGCGGGAAAGCCGGGCGGCGGCGGAGGAGGAGGAGGGGAAGGGGATGGTGTTGCGGGCCCGCGCTCCCTGGCAGCCTCAGCAGCGCCCCGGCCGCCATCTTGACCACCTCCAGCCGGGCTCGGAGGGGAGGGGAGAGGAAAGGAGAGGAAAGGGAGGGGAGGGACAACAACAACAACAACAACACACACACACACACACAGAGGCCGTTTCCAAGCCCTCTCTCTCTCCTCCTCTTCTTGATTACAAAAAGTACAAAGTTAGACACGATAAGGTGGCAAAAGTGAGTGCGCTGGACGTTATGCTATATACTGTATGTATGTACAGTATATTGGTGTGTGTGTATATATACATATACATATACACATATATGTATATACATACTGTATATACATATACAAACATACATATACGGTACATATACATATACATATGCATATATATAATATACAGTATACACACATACACACATATATACATACAAACACACACACACACACATATATATACACACGCATACACACCTACCTACCTACACACACACACACACACACACACGCAACTTCCCAGCCTCCAAAAATATGTGGGAACCTCAGGCAGAGAAGGTGTCAAAAATGAGGAAATCATTTTGATTAAAACTTGTATCTGTTATATAATACCAGTTAATGTTTTTATAATTTTGACTGTGCCTGGTGTTATTGAATAATAACATTCACAGTGGACCCTCGACTTACAGACGGCTCGACTTACAGACTTTTCGAGTTACAGACTTCTCTGGCTGCAAAATTTAGATTCGACTTGCAGCCGGAGAATCGACTTACAGACCAGAAAAAAACCAAAATGGAACGAAAATAGTATAAAAACCGCTGGTTATGGGATTAATCGGTTTTCAATGCATTGTAGGTCAATGGAGATTCGACCTACAGACTTTTCGACTTGCAGCCACCATTCCAATACGGATTAATTCCTTAAGTAGAGGGTCCACTGTATACTGTAATTTAGTTAGTATATAGTAATAAGTCAATAATAATAATATCATTGTCAGTCAACAGTGATAATGTCTATTATTATTACTGTTGTTAGTCCATAGTAATAATAATGAAGAAATCTCTGAAAACATACCTACTTTCGGCAGGCCTTCCATATTATACCACCTTCATAGCCTGCTGAGAGTATAAGCCTAACAGCGGATAAACACCAACAAGTTTTGAAGTAATTACAATTTTAAATTTCAATGATGTTTATACAGTTTGCACCAGGAGTGACCATTGTTCAAATGGACGGCTTAGAAATTTAAAAATTACTTAAATTCTTATTATTCATCAACAAGAAGCAAATCCTAATTTTTTCCTGTGGTTCTGTGATATGTATAAACCGGACGGCTCGTCAGACATTTCCTTCCTTGGACCCACAAGTGTCCTGTGGGAAGGACACTCATCTTATAATTCATTCATATTTGCCATTTATAATATTATTTCCTCGCTTTTTATTATTTTAGTGCTCTTGGGCAAGCGCTGCACCCTGGAAGATGGCCTATCTATACCGTATTTAAAATGCAAAAGAGTAGTGGTGGGCCGTATAAATGTAATACATAAAATAATATAAATAGGAATGGTTCAGATTTGTGATTGGGAGTTCAATTCCACTCCCCTCCGCCCCATGTCTCCCCGGTGGGCTAGAATAGATGACACATAGGGTCCCTTCCAGCTCTGCAGTTCCATGACCGCAATAAATAAAATAAATGAAGATGTTTCTGAAGCCAATATGCTTCAGAAAGCAAAACAAAACCCCAAGATCAATAGTTCACAGACTTTTTAACCAATGGTTCCTATGGCACCGTCTCTTTCAGGATCGCAAAAAAAAAACCACAAAAAACCCAGCAGTGATAATAAGATCTGAGTGCACGTCAAATTTCATCCGTTTTGTTAGCCCAGTTCTGGATAGCTGTTGACCACTCCATTTTTCAAGATACCAGGAGGCTGAGATCATTAAAATCACTTTTTGATCTCATTGCAAGGAAACCACGTGCTTGTGTCATTTGTGTTCCGGTTTCGTTATACTGTATATCATGTTCTGTTAAGTCACTTGTGACTTATGACAACGTTTTCCAGGGTTTTATAGGTACAGAAGTGGTTGGCTATTTCCTTTTTTTCATGGCTGCTCTGGGACCACAGTGCAGCTTGCCCAAGGCCAGCTAGGCTGGTTCATCTATCTAGTGATGCATAGTGGAGATTCAAACTCCCAACCTCTGGCTCTGCAGCCAGATATCTAAACTTCTGAGTTATCCAGACAGCTGGAAGCTTGTGTAAGCTCCCCATAATTTCCTCTACTGTACTTTGAAACTGGAAACCAACAGACAACATGAGGGGTGGGGAATGTCATGATGTGGCTCAGAATAATCTCCCCACTTAAAAAAATACAAATGAATATCGAGTTAGAGAAACACCTCAGTGCCCCCCAAAACTGTTCATATTACTCGACTTTTAACTACATATTGTCTTAGCAACATTGCATTGCTAGAACAAGCTTCCCTTATGTTTTCCCAATTTCCTCATAGCAAACAGTGCCAACAAACCGTAAGCTGGAACTGGGTAACATACCTACACAACCCAACCCAATAAAATAAATTGAAATAAATTGAAATAAAATGGTTTATATTACATCACTCAAGCTAAACTTGTTCTTGAGTATTGCTATGTAGTTTGTGCAGTATTTATTTGTTGGGTTCCCCTGTTTTTTTTTTAGTCCTTAAGACATTTTAATTTTTTAATTAAGATATCAGGTCTTAATGGGCTTTCAATGGTTTACCAAACTGCCTCTTAACTGTTTTGGCCACGTTCAGGCAGCGATGACTTCCAGATAGTATAACAATACATTGATATTCTTTACTTTCTGTAGGACTTTCAAATACATTGACCATTTTTATTACTGTGCAAACACATCAACTCCAGTTTATTATTAATCCTTAATATTTTAAAGAACATAAACACAACTCCACAGAGACAGAAGGGGGGGGGAAGTCTCTGGTTGTTTTCTCACTCTAAAACCTTCACTTGTCTTGAGAAGAAACAGTGAGCTCCTGGATTTTTTCACTAAGGTAGTCGGTATCCTTTTCAGTCAGATTTTCTGAGTCCGTCACGCTTTCCATCAGCTTCCAGCCTGTGCAGGGCTTCCCAGTTATTGGATCAATGACCCTTCCAACCTTGTACACTATCTCGGCAATGTCGTGCTTCACATCCTTACTCCTCCGTTGGGGCAAAGCCCTCAGAAGAACAATGTCGCCCTCCGTGCACTGCTTTTGGGGGTCGTAAGCGAAGTACGTTTTCCGTTTGTTATAGAACTGCAAAGAAGATGGGGGGAGAACATGAGGATCCATTCAAGGGCAGTCATTTTCATTCAGAGAAAACCACAAGACACAAAGGCCAGGAAAAAAATGACATTGAGAATAAGATGGCTGAAAAGCTTTATTGTAGGCTGATCCTTGGCCATCTTATCCATGCAAGAAGTCTATGGAAGCAGAGGAGCCAAGAACTGGTCTGAACAGTGCAGGAAATGACTATCAATCTCTTGGTCCAAAATGTGCCATCATAACAAACTGGGCCCAAGCGTGATAGTAGGAGGGCAATCAAATGTGAGCAGGAAGGAAAAAACACACTTAAGAATGTCTGTCCCTGTTTTTTCTGTAGGGTGCTAAGGTCTTGGGAGATTTGCTTTCCCCGGTCCAAAGCAGAGGGTGAACACAACAGGAAAGGCCTGCTGCCTGAAGGCACACAAAAATCTGATTAAAAAAACTTCACTGGGAGGCAGAAGGAAATGCACCATCCTCTGCAATCTGCCCTCTTGAGAACTTCAAGTCCCCGAGTTCCTGCAGATCTCTCCTCCACCCCAGGAGCAATATCCCGCAGAGCAGAAGAGGAGGAAAGGAGGGACAAGCACCAAGGGCTCGGAGACCATCAGCAAAGATGCTGAACCCCCCTGGAAGAGCAGACAACGAAAGCTGCAGAGAGAATTCACAGGGCAAACAAGTCTGGTCTCCAGCGCGTCAAGCAAACCTGCAAGACAGCATCCAGAGGACAATTTCGTACTCTTGCATAAAAGGAAACTCGTCAACCCTCTAGTTTATGACACTGGGAAAAGAGCTTCTGCAGCCTGGCTTCTCTGAGCAGTGAAGGTCGTGCTGTGCCAGCACATGGCTTCCATCACAAGGCAAACCTAGTAGGGTTTTTCAAGAGTTAAGATGGCCAAGGAGTGGTTCCCCAATCCCATTTCCTAGGCAGAAGAGGGATTTGAGCCCAGGTTTCCTCAATCCTGGTTTAACACTCTGGCTAATACACCACCCCCTGGGTCTTGTCAGAGGAATACCAGCGGGGAAAATAATAGACAGCGTCATTTCAAAAAATAAAAGTAGAATTCCTACTCATGGAGTTGCATACATGGAACTGTGAGTGAGGGGGATGTGAGATTACAAGTTTGGAGAGGCATGGAAGAGGGAATCCACTCATCTTTTATCTTAGCCTTCTAGCAAAAAAGGCACTTTTTGGGAGGACTTTCAAGCCTGAGGTTTACGAATGTGGTTTCCCAGATTCCAAAGGGGGGGTTTCTTGATTCTGGAGGAAGCATTACCTTTAATACGTAGGGATCCAACACCAGCCGCGTCACTCTGACTTTGGCTGTTTCCCGCATTTTGGTCCCTATGACCTTCCCAATGATCCATTTGGCATGGACGCCTCCCCTGTTTAACGCAGACATGGCTCAACGGCAACCAACTGGGACCTTGAAAAATCAAACGCAAGCATTAATACCAAAATGCAGTGTGTGTTCAAGCTCTGTGTAGCCAGAAAACCTTATGATAACGTAAGCTTCCTGTATTTTTTAGCCATGATCCAGGAAAAATAAACACCCGAGAAAACTCAGATAAGTTACTTCCCCCCCCCAAGTTACTAGCTGGTCAAAAAGAATCACCCACTTATTTTTTACACATACAAAGAATACTGTCGCCTTCTAGTTATTCTTGTCCCAAAAGACATGGGAACAAGTTTTTAAATAAACAGCTATTAAATTCCTAATCATAGCTGAGATTGAACTTGGATAATGCTAGAGATCCTGAGCTCAACTTTTTCTTTTCTTTTAAAAATATTCTACTTTACCAAACAGATAAGGAGCCACCCCATAAAATAAACTGCTACACCACTATCCCATAAATGTGCCTCTCAAAGTTTTGGTCTGCTTTGACATTGTTGACAAATTCTGCCACGACTTGATGCCCTCTTGATCTGTTAAAATAGAACAGGTATCAGTAAATTCCACCTTCAGTAAACTCCACCAGGCACCTCCCCAGTGTGTTAACTACAATCCTCATCATTTTTTAAGCAAGCACAGCTCTTGGTATGTTGTCTGGGTAAAAATGGACATGTACATATGAACAATGCCAGGTTGGGAAAATAAATCAATTTTTAAAAAAGGTATTTATTAGGTCATCTGTGCTAAGTAACAGGCAAACAATAATTTATTGAACTTAATACTCCAGCCTTTTCTCTTGCAGGGCCCAAGGTGGTTTATAAATCAGATGTAAAACGGAATAAGTTACAGTATTAAACAAATTGTGACATTAAAGCAAGTATGGAAGCAACACAAACATGTCAGAAAGGTTCTAGGAAGAAAAGGGGTCAGACATTAAACCTCTTAGGGTGACAAAAGCGATTTTGGGAGAAAGGGTGACCCTCCAGCAGGCACCCTCTCTCATCGCGGGCAATGAAGGTGATGGGTTTTGTAGTTCAGGAACAGCAGGCAGTTTCACAGGCTATAGGATAAACAGGACAGGCGGGAAGGCTTGATTGTCGTAGAAACTGGGGCACCGGTGGGTCCCCCCCCTAGATATTATTGGACTACAATTCCCATCAGCCCCATCCAGCAAAGCCGAGGGTGGGGGTTCTGGGATTTGTAGTCCTAGAGCATTTGGTGGGGGGGTCTTGCCATAGAAATTAAGGATCTCAGGGGAGGGGGGGTCGCTTTTCTCCCTGCCCCCTACCAAGTCCCTGCCTAACTCCGGGGTCACCCCCTACACTCCGAAGCCCCAACGACCCTTCGCTCAAAGGAGCGCTTCTTACTCTGCGTCCGCCTTTCTTGCCGAGCTGGAAGCCGGGAGGCGGACCAAGCGCCGGAAGAGGCGGAGCCAGCAGCTGAAAGCCGGGAGGCTTTCCGTGGCGGCCCTTCTAGGAACTCCGCCGGCGCCGACTCCATGACCTGTCTGGGACTTGCCCGCGTGGCGTAGCGGGTAAAGGCGCCCGCACAGCTGCTAAGGGGGAGTGTATGGGACGCTAGGAGCGGAGTTCGAGGCTGTCTCGAGGGTTGATGTACAAACCTTAATTTAGAAAAACCTTATCGAGGGTTAGAGCTTCTTCATTGAAGAACTTAGCGTCTCCAGGAACACAAGTGCACGAAAAATAAATTTAACTAATTAAAATTCTCATTTGTCAAGAAGGGAGAGGGAGGTTTTGCCTGTTGGGTAAAACAGAAACCAAGAACAGGGTGGTGGCATTCTGGAGGCTGGCAGGTTGATTTCAAAACTTGATTTTGTTGCTCTCCTTGTTTTGATTGTTGTGGGTTATAATCTGAAATCAACCTGTTACCCTTAAAGCTGCCACCAGCTTGTTCTTACTTTGGTTTCTATACAATAAGTCATATTGTATAGAATATGTAAATATATACTGTAGATGTGTGTTTCAATGAGGTGGATTTCTTTTTCCTTTACCCTGCTGTCAGGGGAGCTGTTGGTACTTGTCATTCAGCATTACAAAATGGTGACCTAGAATTGTAACCTAAATAGCAGTATGAGTGGATTGTAATCCACAAGTTCCTCCTGGAACAAATATAAATCAATGATATAAAGATAAGATCGGAAAGAAATCTGTGACTTTTAAGCATGCCCAAGGCTTTTTTTAAAGTGGGTAGGGCTATACATGCAAAAACAGACTAAAATCTGCATGTGACACAGACACTAGGTTTTTAAGTCCTGCTTGCGTTTTCCATCTCTCAGAGTGGTGTTTATTCGTTCCTTTTTAATATTTGTATACTTACTGTTTTTAGCTTTAATATTGGCTTTTAATGATGTGAGCTCCCTCTTTATACTCGTTCTTTGCATTAAATACAGTACTGGCTTTTAACGGTGTAAACCACTGTTGTATACTCATTGTCTTCCACTTTAAATTGTCTTTCAAGAATGCAAGACGCCTTGGGTTCTTTTTAAGGAGAAAGGTGGGGTAAAAATATTTTAAATAAAATAAATAAGGATTGGCCTGCATGTGCTGCATATTTGGCACATTTAGAAACTCCGACAAATTAATTTTTTGTAAGATCGAGGCAAAAAGAGGGGAGAAACAAGACAGTGATTTTAAAAGAGAGAGTGAGACCATCATCAGAAAATAGGCGGTGGAATTCACAGCCTGAAAAGGCAGGTATTATTGCAAAGGGCTGCACAATATATTTTTTTTACACTTGGCTGATGCAGTAAGGAAATGCGCTGGTTTTCAGTGGGCATTCTCTTTTCATAAAGGATCTCCTTTCCCTCCCTTGGGATGCCTTGCGTTTTGCAAAGGAGTCCTAGGGAATCCTTTAGGTGCACTCGTGCTGTCCAGAAAGTGTGACCAAACCCCAGGACTGCCCAGCACCTCCCTGCAGATGGCCGTGGATTGCTCATGGCAAACCAAATGCCTTTTGGATAACGTTTTGGAAGCAGTTAGCCATTGTTAGTCTGTGCAAGCACATAAAGCAAAATCGAAAGAAACAAAGCCAGACAAGATAAATACCCCAGGACTGCCCAGCACCTCCCTGCAGGTGGCCGTGGATTGCTCGTGGCAAACCAAATGCCTTTTGGATAATGTTTTGGAAGCAGTTAGCCGTTGTTAGTCTGTGCAAGCACATAAAGGAAAATCGAAAGAAAGCCAGACAAGATAAGTCAAAAACAGGTGGCACCTTAAAGACTATTATATTTTAATGTGAGCTTTTGTGGACCCGTCAGCTTCGTCAGATGTAGGGAAGCAGAAGAAAATATTGAATGAAATATCAGTTACATCATAAGCCAAACTGCTGCATGTAAATGTACCATGCATCCAAGAGAATAGTATACTGCATGTAAATGTACCATACATCCAAGAGAACAGTATGTAACTAATATTTCATTCAACATTTTCCTCTGCTTCCCTGCATCTTCCGGGGGTGGGGCTTGGAACCAATCCTTCACAGATATGGGGGTCCTACAGTATTTGCCTCCCACAGCAGCCCAGCAGTTGCTTTTGGGCGTGCGCTCACTAAAAGGACATGGGAGCCCCTTTACCTTTCTGTCTTTGTTCCCTAGCTTGTAGTATATACCATTAAAGTTTGAGAAAGTTACTTTTTGGACTATAGCTCTCATAATCCCCAGGCAGCAGTCTGGGAGTTGGTCCCAGTCTGGGATGAACAACATGTAAACAGGAGTCAGAAGTGGTATGTCTCTGTAGTTCTTTTTTTGGACTACACTTCTGACTCCTGTTTACAGGTTGTTCTTTGTTTCTGAAGAGCCATTCTTCCTCTTCCTAACCACAAGCAATTCCTACACATCGTTATTACAGCCTTGCTTTCTGCTTATCAGCCGCACCTCCCTCTTCAGCCCTGAAAATAAGAGAAAATACTCTGTTACCCCCTAGTGGTAAATTCTGATACTGCAATGCAAGAATATTCACAAAAGGGAAAAAGTCAAAAACAAATGTAATGCGGACTTCTTCTGTCTGACAAAGCAGATTCATCCAGGAAAGTTCACACTGAATTATAAGAATTAGTCTTTAAGATGCCACTAAATTTTTGGTCTTTTTTCCCCTGGGGATTCCTGAGGATTGGTAAGAGAATGGTGCAAACCTGAAAACTTTCTCTCTAAATCCCTCTAAAAATATCTTAGGAAGTAACTCCTGAAACCAACTAGGAGTTACTTCTGAAGCGTAAGCAATTTAGGCATAACACATTATTTAAAAAATAACTTCGTAGCTATTCATTTCATTGCATGTTCCCTGCAAAGTAACTACATTACCTGAACTCATTATATCCAAGCTCTGATTACCAATAGCCTCATCTTTGTTTTTCTTCCTGCCCAGGTTGTCAGCCCTGTCTATATCTAGTGGCAGAGAATTCCACAGTTGAACAAGGCTCTGTGTGAAAAGATGCTTCTTTGAATCTGTTCTGAATCTTCCAGTGCATTAGACCAGCATGAGGGATGCGAAGCTAACAAAAAGAGAGAGAGAAAGAGAGAAATTTGAGCCAGTATCCTGTGAACTGTATGACTAACGAGTTACAGTATTTGAACCCAGGTCTCTTTTGTCCAGTTATTTGAATCCAGGTTTCTTCTCAGCCAGACCGCTTCTTTTCTTGCTGCTTTTAATTCATTAAAGGTTAATGCCGTTTAACATTTTTATTGATTCATTGGAAAGGTAGTGCCGGAGGAGAGCTTTGCGGATTCCCCCCTGGACGGCCAGAAAGATGAACACGTGGGTCCTGAATCAAATCAAGCCTGAACTCTTTGGAGGCAAAAATGTGGAAACTAAGTCTGTCCCACTTTGAGCACCTTGTGAGAAGGCGGGATTCCCTAGAAGAGACCATCATGCTGGGAAAAGCTGAAGGCAGCAGGAAAAGAGGAAGACCCAGTACGAGATGGACTGACCCCCTCAAGGAAGCCAGAGGGTTGAGTCTACAAGACAATGTCTTCAGGAGGGCTAATGTTGTCCCTATCTTCAAAAAGGGCGAGAAAGATGCTAATGTTGTCCCTATCTTTAAAAAGGGCGAGAAAGATGAACCTGAGAACTACAGGTCAGTCAGCCTGACATCAATCTCAGGAAAAATTCTGGAACAAATTTTAAAACATTTACTATGCAAGCATCTAGAAAACAAAGCACTGTAGTAATAATTAGAAGCCAACACAGATTTGTCAAGAACAAGTCCTACAAGATTAATCTGATCTCCTTTTTTAATGTTGGTTGGTTGGTTGGTTGGTTGGTTGGTTGGTTGGTTGGTTGGTTGGTTGGTTGGTTGGTTGGTTGGTTGGTTGGTTGGTTGGTTGGTTGGTTGGTTGGTTGGTTGGTTGGTTGGTTGGTTGGTTGGTTGGTTGGTTGGTTGGTTGGTTGGTTGGTTGGTTGGTTGGTTGGTTGGTTGGTTGGTTGGTTGGTTGGTTGGTTGGTTGATTGATTGATTGATTGATTGCACTTATACCCCGCCCATCTAGTCAATTGACTACTCTGGGCAGCTATTTTATCTTTGTATACTGTGACCGCCTGGTAAAACTTTACTTTGATCACATCAGGTCACCTCCCTGATAGACAGAGGGAATGCTGTAGACATAGTATATCTTGACTTCAGCAAAGCTTTTGACAAAGTGCCCCATGATATCCTGATTAGCAAGCTAGCTAGGTGTGGGCTTGATAGATCAGGTGGATCCACAGTTGGCTACAGAATTGTACGCAGAGGGTGATGATTAATGGGTCCTTCTCTAACAAGTGGGGTACTCCAAGGCTCAGTCCTGGGTCCAGTGGTCTTCAGCATTTTTATTAATCACTTGGATGAGGAAGTGAAGGATCTCCTTGTTAAATTTGTGGATGACACAACATTGGGTGGAATAGCTAATATTTTTATTTATTTATTTATACCCTGGAAGAGCGAAACAAAATTCAAAATGGTCTTGATCGGCTGGAGCACTGGGCTGAAAACAACGGAATGGAATTTAACAGAGATAAGTGCAAAGTACTGCAACTGGTATTACGGCTGAAAACAACGGAATGGAATTTAACAGCGATAAGTGCAAAGTCCTGCACAGGGATTACATCTTATGGTAGCTTTGTCCCATTGCAAAGCATTGGAAGTGGTGGCTATTTGAATGCTTTCAGCCTACAACTCTCATCTGTCCTTGCTAGCATAGCCAATGGTGAATAATTATGATAGTTGCTGTTCACATATATGGGACTTGTTCAGCCCTGGAAGGCAGCCCATGTAGGAGAAGGAAAACTCTGACTTCAAACCTCCACTGCCTTGTGGCTAGATCCACTGATGGAAGAGGCTTCAGGAGTCAACCTCGAGGCAAAATCCGGAGCCGGAATCCTGGAGGCAGTTTGTGTCGTTCTGCCAACTCCTGCAACGTTGCTGGAACCAGTCATATTGGCTCTTGCCTTTCCATTGGACCTTTC